GACTAGGTGAGAATAATTTCAAATATAGATGACATATTTGATAACTTAATCAATAAAGATAAATGCAGAGCTAATTCGCCAACGCGTTTCGTATTGTTCATTGAAATATAAACATTGACCAGAACGCTGTATTACAATAAGAAAATGCAACAAATACAATGATAGATAAATGAAAGAATAAAAACTATTGTTTAGTTGATTTAAAAAATGAAGAATATGAGAAATATAAAAGAATAGGGGGATGTTCAAAGAAACGAAGGACGAAGGAGGCTTCAATTGTATTGACACTTGAAAAAAAATATTGTATCAGATTAAGGATGTGTGAGATGAACTTTGGTGTAGGCATGATAGTTATGTTGGAGTCCACGGACGTTCAACACACCTACGCAAGTCGACATGCTCACTTCGCAGAGCCGTTTCCACAGTCAACCGTACCAAGGCAATCCAGACGCATACACTCTTTTCAGAAGTTTATTGAGAAAGCTCACAGCCGTCTTAATCTAATATTTCCGGGCGCAACTTTTTCGAAGCTTGTGGGATGCATGTAAAACTTTCTTGGACTTGCACAAAAAGTTCGAACACCATTGTACCGGAATTATCCTTGTGGATAAAGATCATTGGAGTTGACGTGAATATTACGTTTTCAATTTCAATAGAAACATATTTTTCTCTATAATTGTACTGATGACTGGACAAATTTTTATCTCAAGGAATTCGACAAAATTGAGTATATCTCAAACTTTAACACGTTGAAACAAATATTTTTATAGAAGCTGAGCCTTTTGATCTTTATTACAGCTATCTTACACGATGTGCTCGCTAGTTGATATAGTAGAACTTCTCATAATTGTGAAACTGTTTTGATTTTCATTTTGATCATTGTAGTTCGATGTCAGCTGAAGGGTCTCAATTGAGTGTCGGTGTCGTTGCATTTGGATGTGTATAAATGTAGCAAGGGTGGTGTACTCTACTTATCAATGGTCACATCTACACTAAGACCACCTGTGTTTAGAAGAATTAAGAATGTTTCCTATAGATGCTCACAGAAAATGAATTCTTAGGCAACAAAAAAAACAAGTTTCATAACGATTACTTAGAAAAAATTACAGAATACAATGCAAGCAACCCTTTAAGATTATGGTTTCTGCTTGTCTCTTAAAGTTTTTCTCAAAGAAACTCTTCATTGAACAAACAAACTGTAGGTCGCCTGTGATATTCTGAATAGTATCATCATATTGATTCGATTGAATCAATTATGTTTTTGTGATGAGATTTTCTTAACAACATTTCATTTTATTTAGAGTAGACAAGAAGAAAAAAGTACTGCAGTTTGGTTCTTGACACTATCTAAAATGTGTCATTTCCTGACACAGTGATATGTGCCACATACGTAAAAAAAAAGAGAAAATCTTTAAGTAAATATATTCTACAGGAATTAGATCGTGCATTGTCTGTATTTTTCTGAGTCTTCCTTTTCTCTAACAACTTTCGTCGTTAACTATATTTAACAAAAGGGAAGACTTTCTTTCTTTCATACTTATGTTCAAACTCCTAGATATACATAAGAGAATTTATTGTATTTGATGGCTTGATAAAGAATGAAAAGATACTTTTAGCTACTTCTTATGGCGAATATGTTTTTCATGATCTGCATACGAATTTCATTTGTGTCAACTTGAATCTATCCCATTTTAGTCTAGAATCATGTATCTTTGATGATATCGAGTTTATATTCTTCATTGAAAGATCGATTTTGATTTAAAATTCCTAATCCGATCTTTCTTCTATAGAAAGTGTTGATTTTACAGATGTACAAAAATCTCTTATTGAATAGCATGACGATTTTTATGCGCTCGTCTAAAAAGAAAATGTCGATGTATAAATTTTAATCAATCATGATCCGCCTCTGCAACTAAGTGATGCGAATACTGGAGTATGCACAGCGCAATAAGGAGTATAACATGAGTAAACGTACTGAGATGAAGGACAGAAAAATATGATTCATTTTATTCCGTTTTTGGTAGAAAAAGATAAAAAGCGCAACACTTTAATGTTTATAGGTGAAAGGAATCACAGCACGTGAAAAGCAGAGAGAGACAAGTCATAAAACAATTTATTCATCCATGACTGCACTAGTGCAAAAGTAATAATTGACAAAAATCGTGCAAGAATACAAGAAAAATATCTCTTGATTGCAAAGTAAGTAAAGTGATTTTTTGGAAATTCTGAGAAACAATATGGTTTCGCTCTCACTAAATCACCTTGCTGAAAATTTAGTCAATGAATCATATTCATATCATTAAGATGATGTCATTGAAACAACTTATATGATTCAATATGGCTGAACTAACATATGTTATCGAATATTTTTTTTTCAGAATTAGTGATGTTTTTTCTTGTTGATACTTAATAAAATTTTCAAATCTAATTCGATTTATTTTCTAGGAATATTATTGAATGAATCGTATGTCGATCACCAAACAACCGTCTCATGTTAGTAAATTCTATCTTGCATGTCGAAATGGCGATGTGGATTTTGTCAAAAAATATCTGATGACTCTCAAACAAGCAAAATATGATCTAAATCCTTTAGAACCAAATGTCGATAGTACACCACTACATGCTGCTTGCTACTATGATCACAAATAAATAGTTAAATTATTGCTAGAAAATGGATGTGATCGATTGAAAATAAATCGATATGGTTTAACTGCTTATGAAGAGGCTACCAATGATGATATTCGACAACTATTCAAACGGTCACAAATTCGCAATTGTAGTCAACGTTTTCAAGATGAAGTTATAGATGATTGTTTTGATTTTGTCCGACGCCCTAAAGAAGACGTAAGCATGAATACATTGTAGATAAGTTTAAAATTCCTTTCACAAGGATACTCAGGGGTCACCACGATTGAGATGCCGATTAAAGGGTTTAAGTTTATAAATGTGTCACAGAAGGATCGATTGTTTTTGCGAGTATAAGTAAGCACAACATGTCCGTTTAATAAGTTCCTCTTTCTTTATATGAATCTGTTATGACAATGGAACCATGTTTTTTTTTTGTAGAAAAAAGAAACTGTTGTCCCTCTTTCGACGTCACCATCTGAAATGAAAAAGATGCCACCGGTTCAAACTTATAACACAAGAGCTGAAAAACAACTTGAAATAGGTTATGCTACTACATCAATAGCCATGTGTCAATCAAAACTCGGAAGATTTATTGCTGATAAATTCAATGATGATGCACCAATGTCATTGAATGCCATTGGTATTCGACTTCAAGATATAATTGACAGAGAACTCATAGCTAACAAAGATCCGGAATCGTCTAAAGCAAATGAATTATTAAATAAATTTTTAACAGATCTTTCTAATGATCATATTAAACACCTTATACGTTTGTACACATTGGAAACAAATTTTTATTCATCTCTAAGACAAAATCCAATGCCATTAGCATTACCTTTGTATATAAAATTACAAACATTAAAAGATCGGTATTTCAAAGGACTATCGTATCGTGGTGCAAAAATGACCGATGATGAAATTGCAACGTATGAATGGGCTGTTCAAAATCGTGGAAGTCTTTTGCAAACTAAACATTTTTCATCAACTTCTCAAGATCGTTCTGTTGCTGAAGGGTTTGCAGATGCAGTAATTGAAACTCCTGACAATATTCGAAAAAATCGTGTTGTGTTCATATTCAATTTTCCCATAGAATGTGATCAAGCGATAAATTTAAGTCGAATATCTGACACACAACCATGTCTATCAGAATTTGAAGATGAGAATGAAGTTTTAGTATTACCATGGACATTATTTCAAGTTGATTATGTTTACAAAGACTCATCAACATCATATACAATCTATTTAACGAACGTTTCATTACCGCAAAAAAGTCTTTTTTCATCATTCAAGTGGATATTAAAACATCCTAAAGGTTCTATAGATCGATTTCATGAACATTTTCCAGAAAGGAAACCAGATTTTATTGTAAAACATCTCATGAATAGCGGTTTCAGATTTGATCATCCAATGGTTAAGAAGAATGATGAATAACTAAAAGCCTTCTTATCATTCGATACGATCACACTAGATATATGTTTTAGATTCAATGATATTATATTTTCTCAAGAGTTGAAAATAATTTTCGTTTTCACTTTTCTCAATAATTGAGACATTCGTTTCAAACGTCTATATTTTGGTTTTCTTTGGATAACTGATTTATATTCTTTTTCTCACTGATTTCTATTGTTCTATAGTCTATACTACGCTAATCGCAAATAATCATGGGTAGAATTTGTCTCGATAACTTTGTTTTTTGAAGAATAACTTCTTCCATATCAAGTCAGAAATTTACTGTTACTCGCTACCATTACTAGATAACATAGCGATAACTTCTCTCCACTCTTCCAAATCTCTTATCTAAATTCTTTCTTTTCATACAGCTGAAAGTTTTTCTATTATGAGTTTCTCAACTGTTTTTCGTTCGACCCATGTTCGTAAGTCTGATTCTGAACATGATTTTACGGACGATCTGAAAGTTCTTATCCAGCCCTTTCTGTTGCTGAAACGCTTGCCTATTATCGAGTATTGAGAAATCGAAGGAACTAAAATTTGTAATCAAATTTCAGCCTATTCAAAAAAAATGAAAGCCACCAATAAATATTAGTACGACTTCAGATCGATTTTTTTTTCTCGCAATAAAAAATTGCCACCACCAATTATCTTCATGGATGGGTAAAATATAGAAATAGTGAAGTCCTTTAAATATCTAGATTTTCCTTCAACTAGTAAGTTATCATTAAAATCAACCATTGATAAATGTGTAAAGAGCAATTACAGGCATCTTGGAAAACTAAAATGGCTAAGAGCGAGGAAATCATTATTGGCATTAATATTACGAACATATTTTGCTTATACTTTTTCACGTCTCATCTGGCGTATTCCTCTAATTCTTTTTCTGTCAAAAACTCATCAAGACGCATTGAGACAGAAGTTCAAAATTGGAGTGACACTGGTATATCCGTATCCCATTGAGTCGGAACAGAAATTTTTCTCTGTGAAAAATGAAGATCCGCTCGATTTTTACTCTAAAAGATATACACAAAAAAAGATTATAGCAAATGCATAATTATGATATGGGATGGTCTCTTTGTTATCATGATGCATTTTTTTGAGACGATTTCAACAAAAGTCAAAGAGATAACTTTGGTCATTTGTTTCGGATGGAAAGAATGAAAAAACTGAAAGAGAGACATGAGTCTCTGTTATTCAAGTAAATTGAGTATGAGGACTAAATGCCTCTATGTGAATAGACATGACTATTTTTATCTTTCATTCTGTTCCTTGCTATCCTTACTGTTTCTTTTTTCAGATTCTTCTTTGTTTTTTGTTTTTTTTTCACTTTTCATCAATTTTCTTTCCCATGTTGTTGAAGCATCATGTTGTGGTCTACTATTGTATTGATGAACCTGTTCCCACATTGCTCAAGACTCCTCTTGCTGTGATTCTAAGTGATCTTCCCGTATCCCTATATAAGCGCTTGCATTCATAACAATAAATAGCAAAATCAAAAACATTAACATTCAAAACTACTGTTTTCACGTAGAAACTACACTATTCGAAAAATATGTGTACATTAAATTAGTGGATAATCTATTTATTAGATATACACGACTTCTTACACGAGTGACTGACATATACATGTCCTGTTGCATTGACTTGCACGATGACAATATGACAATGGCTTCCATCTTTTATGTGACATTTTGAGTCTCTGATACAAAAGTAATTTCTTGTGTTTACACTTATCAATTCATCGTTGGTTGAAGCAGCGATTAACTCAACTCAAGATTGACATTTTTTGGTTTCATCGATTTATTTAAATTTAAACAAATCTACAGAAAGAAAAGAAAAAAACAACGAAGGGATTAGAAGAAGATGAAGATCAGGAAAGAGAAAGACTTAGGACTCCTGACTTAAGTCTTATGCCCTAAGAGGAAAGAGCTAAGTAATAAGGATCAATTTGTTTGAAGCTTCGCCAGAATATGTAATAGGTTTTTTTCTGAAATTTTGTCGTCATAATTTTTTGCTCTTGAGATTGATTTTTGAAGAAGCGAAGTGGCGTATGTTTTAATTGTGGGAATGTTACTAATCTTATGTATATATTCTGTAGATGTGTACGCGGGAAATCCAAGCGCTGCCCTCAATGCTTTGTTTTGTATTATTTGTATGCGTTTCCAGATGTTGTCATTAGCTGTTAGAAAAGCAGAGGACCCATATGTAATAATTGATCGAACTAGAGAATTGAATAGGTTCAACATTATGTTATTGTTTGAACTAGGATTTGATCTAGATAGAAAACGAAGAAGACCAATCCGTGGTGCCACTTTTGTTTCCATATGTTTGATGTGGACTCTCCAATCGAGTTTGTGATCAAATAGAACACCGAGATATCTTGCTGATAATTGAGGTTTTATAATTATATCTTCAACTTTAATTTCAACTTTATTTTTGTATTTTTTCCTTGGGTGTGGACTAAAATACACCAGCTCAGTTTTAGTAGGTTGGATCGTCAATTTCCATGTACTGCACCATTTCTGAAATTCATTTACAGATGATTGGAGGTGATGTTTGAGATTAGTAATGGTGTTGGATGTTGTCCATAAAGCAGTATCATCAGCAAAAAGGCCATGTTCAGTATGTTCATCAACACCATTCATTGAATCACTGGTATATATTATATATAACAGCGGTGATAATGGTGATCCTTGAGGTGTTTCACTCTTTAATAAAAAAGGTCTAGATAGTACATTTTCTATTTCTATGGAAGCTGTTCGACCATCGAGGAATGATATAATAAAAAGAATTAAATAATTTGGTAATCGAAGATCGTGTAACTTGTAGATTAATCCATCGAACCACACCGTATCGAAAGCAGTTTTTATATCAAAGAATATAACTGCTGAGTGTTGTCGTCGGTCAAGTTGGCCACGTGCAAATCTTTCGAGACGAATGATATTGTACATAGTGCTTTTGTGTGCTCGAAAGCCAGATTGATGTGTTGGAAGGATATTTCTTTCATTTAATTCTTTTGTCAATCGTTGTTTGATAATTTTTTCTAAAACTTTACCTATGCAACTTAGTAAGCTAATTGGGCGATAGCTCGAGGGTTGTTTTTTATCTTTTTTTGGTTTGAGTAGGAGGATGATGTTGGCATTTTTCCAGGCACTTGGAATATGACCAATATCAATGACAGCATTGAAAATCTTAACAAGATGTTCAATTAGTGATGTTGTATAATTTTTAAGGCATCGATTGTGAATAGTGTCCGGACCGGGTGAGCTATTAGGTAGTTGTTTCAGTATTATTTTGACTTCTTTGGTAGTTATTGGAGGAGGTTTTCTTTTGTTTGTGTGTCTTTGAAGTCTTCTTTTTATTACTTCGACTTGTTTCCGAACTTGATCATGGAATGGTAGTTGATCAAGTTTTTCAACAAAGATTTCGTTTTCGAAGTATGTTGCAAACAGATTGGCTTTGTCTTGTTCGGTGTTGGCGATCATGTTTTGGTATATTAGATCACCTGAGTATGGTTCTTTCATTCGTTTGTTATGAAATTTACGGACCGATGCCCATACTCTGGACGAGTTCATCTTGCTTGCACACAATGATGACCTAATTTGATTAAATCTTTCAGTACGATCATTTCGTAAGGCATTAGCTAAAAGTGCTCTACTATTATAATATTCATTTTTGTCAATATCATTATTTGTTTTTCTCCATCGTCTGTAAGCTTGATGTTTACGTTTGATGAGTTTTTTAGTTACTTTTGAAATTTTAAAATGTTTCAATGTTGTATTTGTTTGTGGGATCGATGATTTTGTTGCAGCAGCTATGCAATCAGTAAGTGCTGTTGCATACATTTCAATTTGTTGACCAGTTGTAATTGTTTTTTTCATATCCAATTGATTCAAAAGAACATTCAATTTGTTACGATATAATTGCCAATCTGCTGCCATAAAATTGAAGGATACTCGAGGTGATAAAGGTTTTGGATCAGCAGCCATGTTCAAGTTGAAAGTTAATGGTTTATGATCTTCTTTTAGTCCAAGAGGTGCTTGTGTTTCGATGTTGTTAATACATAGTATAGTAGGTTGGCTCGCTAAAATCCAATCTATTTTTTCTTCGTAATTGTTTCTTGTATATGTGGTTAAATCATTATCTATGCATTGAAGATAACCTTCATCGAGTACTTGTTGTAGTTGGTGACCTTTAGTATTCGTTCTTTTGGATCCCATGGTCTGAAGAGCAGCATTTAGATCACCGAGTATAAGACAATTGTTATTCAGGTTGTATATATGTTCGAAGAGTTCATGATGGAGTTGTGCATTTGGTGGAATATAAATCGATGCTACGAGTAGATGTCCATTTGTTGTTTCCATTTGTATCGCAATTGTTTCATTATTTTCAATTGTTTTGTTGAATTTTTCATAGCATCTGATATTGTTCCTTACTGCTAATAGCACTCCTCCTCCTTGTCGATCTGGTCTGTCGTTACGGAATATATTATATCCAGGAAGTGAGAAAGAATGTTGTGGTTTGAGATTTGTTTCATTGATTGATAGAATATCAAATTCATTGAATCGTGCACTTATTTCGTCTTTGTGTTTTTTAATTGAGGTGACATTGCAGTGCATGATTTTGATCATTTATTTGGTTTAATATTATCATCGATTTTGCTATCATGACTAATTTTTGAATCTTTGACTGTGGTAATTGGTTTTTCAGATGAGCTGCTTGGTGAAATATATTTACGTTTCGATCCAATGATTGGAGTAGATGTAAATTCAACACTTTCATTTTGAGTTGCTTTATCCAGTGACTCTTGCACTAAATCATCTTGACTATTTGTTGATTTTTTCTTGTTATTTGATTCTTGTTTATTATTCTCTTCTTCATTGAAAATTTCGTCGATTTCAATGTTAAACTTCTTGGTAAATTGGTTCGTGAGTACTTCAAATCTTTGATTGAAGGTATCAAAAATTTTTTGTGTTGCTTGTTCAATAATTGACATCATTTTTTCTGTAAGTATTTCAATGATTTGTATTTGATCATTTTTATGAGGACTTTTAAGAACTGGAAACTCATCTTTGTTATTCCAATCTGGATGTGTTTGTGTTGATGGCCTTTGTTTTACTGACGATGAATATTGTTCAATTGTTTTCTGTATTTTTTGTTGATAATCTTTGTACTTTGGACAATTTGCAGACGTTGCAAAGTGTTCACCTTTGCAGTTGCTACATGTAGGTTTTTGACTACTATTAGGGCAATCATCATATTTATGATTTGCACCTCCACATCTAGAACATAATTGATTATCTGATCTACAATACTTGGCAACATGACCGTATTTAAAACATTTGTAACATTGAGACGGTGTGTTGTTGTGTTTAGCTGGCTCAACATTGAAATGCATCGAGTCGATTTGCAAACCGAGTTTAACGAACAAATCTCTATTTGATGAATCAGAAAAAGTGATTTTTATTGTTTTAAGTGGTATTTTCTCTTTATTCATTAAACGAGTGATTTTCTCGTATTTGAAACCTTGTTCATTTAGTGTTTGTTTGATATCTTCATCACTTATTTCTAAGTCGACCTTCTTGACGAATGCTTCTTTATTATTCTCCAATATTCTTTGAATAGAACGAGGAATGTAAATAGAAGAACATTGTTTATCATTATCTTGGATAATCGAAGTTAAATCATTCAGCAATCGATTGAATGATTTTACATCATTTGCATAAAGAGTGAATGTGTTTGGTCGGTTTACTTGTATATTTGAAACTTTGACATCTGGTAAATGGTTTTTGATAAGTTGGTTGATTTTGACTTTTGTGAGCGATTTAGCTTCAAGAATCAACGGTGCAATTCCAAATTCAAATTTTATATTAGTTGTTTGTTGTTTCTCTTCTATTGTAGTAGGTTGTTGCGGTGTATTGGTGGTCAGTGTGTTTGACTTTGAATTGTCTTGTTCACCTTTTCTTCTTCCACGAAGACCTCCGCCTCTTTTTGGCGGCATGACAATTCAATTGTTAGATCCAATAATGTTTTTTTTTTTAATATAACAATTAATACTTGATTATATACCTTTTTTAATTTATTTATTATATATATATATATATGTTTTTTTTTTTTTTTGTTTGCTTATTTATTTGTCCTTGTTGACCTTTTAGAGTAAGCAAGGAGAAGAAAGAAAGTACGTCTAATCGATAGCGTGTAGAAAAGAGGAATGAAGATTGACATTGTAACATAAAAAGCACGATTGGTCGTAACGACAAGTTTCTCGATTTCACGGGATTATTTTGATTCTGAGGAACTAGATATCGATGTGACAAAAAAGAAAAAAAATATTGCATTTGTTTGCATGATAAGTGTCGTCATCAAATCTGTTTTTCCATCATTTATACACTTTATAGGTATTATTTTCAATTATTGAAGGTCGTCACGTATATTTCATCACTTCTTCTCAATGTATGTAATTACACAATCAGTGGATATTACACTTGGAAATTACGTATGAGCTTTTTGCCTATAAAAATGGTTATCATTGTGTTGTTTTACAATATTAACTCAAAACGCTACACGTATGGCTGGATCAATACCGAATTTCTTTGATTTTTCATCACCTTTTGTTCAATTTTGCACTCAGGCAACATGTGGTGTGTTCTTAGGTATTGCTCAGCAAGTTGCAGCAGAGTATCAATTGACTCCGACTGATGCTATCCAAAAATATGTTCAAGAAATGCCATTGAATGGCGCTATGACACAGGCCAAACAATATATTGTTCACTATGCTCGACAATGTTGTAACGAATATCTGGCCGTTCTCAATTCGAGTTCATCTGTCGAGCTGAACAAAGATGATATGAATCACTATGTCTATATTAAATTCCAAGAGATTACGAAGAGTGCTACTTTCAACAGCCATGGTTATCGGCACCTAAATTGTATTTTTAATGGTATGATTTACTATTGTACAGCCCAATTCAAGTATACATTTCAAGAACTCCTCAATCATGGTTTTTCGATGGGTGGTACACGCAATAGTAATGATGGTAACTTTAGTGTGGCTGAAAGAGACGTTATTCGAATGTATCTGAGGCTTCTCATGGAAAAAAGTGTTGATGAGATTATGGATCAGCTAAGAACCGAGCAAACAACGTTGAGATGCGAAGAAAACAACACGTGTGAAAGCGATGTGAACAATGAACCACAACGGCTGAGTGTCATCGCTGAACAGTTGAATTTGGAAGCAAGCACAACTGTTCCTTGCACATGTGGTAGACGGCACTAAATATCAAAAACAAAATTTATAACTTTCAAAAGAAAAACTTGAACAATAATAATAATAATAATATTATAGTCAAGAAAGATAATTTTGCACTTTAATGTAATATTCCACAATAGAAGTTTTCGAGTTTTTTTGTTTAATTTTTATTTTAGTACGGTCATCATCAGCTCTATTAGACACCTTTTGTGGCACACATATACCCAGATTTTATATATTTCAATGTATTATATTCATATGAAGACATTCGCTGATAGCTTATTCAAGTTTATCTTCATCGATACATGTTATATAGATTTTTTTTGTTTCTGGATATGTTTATGTTGTACTTTGCTCTTTTCCATTCCTAGCAGTTATTGTTTACCTTTCAAAATAAATAGAAAGTGAAGCTCACAAATGATATCTTATATTGCTTCGGTACAAATGACCTCCATATTACATTGATAAAGGAAGTGAAAAATCAAAAATATTATTTGAATAAATGGAAGTAAAATCTCGTCACTGTTTGATATCACTATGGCTTGATTGGTTTGAAACTTATGTTACTTATAAACTGACATTTGTTGCGTAGGATTTTTTTTTGAAAACTACCACATTCATATGCCTAGCCACGATATCATCCTTCATTTAGGCATCGTCACTTAAAAATGATGAGATATCGGTTCTGATAATTTTCATCATCTAGATAGTACTTTCATTCGTACAATAGAATCCTAAATGCCTATCTGAAATAATCTATTCACTAGCAAAAACTAGCTAGAGCTTCTGCGATTTCAATTATTGAAAGTGGGTAAATCTTTTTTTAGTTTGACAAGAAAAATTTATTTGAAAATCAATCATCGAGAGAAAATGAAAACCGACTATAGATTGTTGAACCATCATTATTTGCTGATCAATAGAATTTTTTTCCGTTAAACTTTTCAGCAAATGAAAATTGTTCATCGTATTTCGTCTGATCAACGGTTTTTTTTATAGTATGTTATCTAATCTATTGATTCTTTTTATACCAGTTTCAGCTGATCATCTTATTCTTTGATTCAGTTAAACAAGATTCAATGTACCGATACATTAGCTGGTACGTGTTGAAGATTGAGGATGAAGGTGAGCGTGTGAGTACGGTGTATGGGAGAGAGTAGCTCTGTATTCTTTTTAAAAGAATGAACAGTATGCTCAAACAAAAATTCGCTTGATATATATAACAAATTTTTTGTTTTCGTTTAGTACATTTATATATCAACTAGTTTTAGCGGTGGTAAATAGTCCATTTCGGCGTGATTTACAAAGAAAAGTACAATTGAATAAAAAAAAGATAAGAAAATCATGAATGAGTGAAACGTTTATTCTTGAATCTTATAAATTCCAAAGGATAGGTTGGTGAGCCAAATCAACCCTTCCGATTATCTAGCAGTGCATAAGACTAAACGGAAACAACGAATAAATGATTGGTGGTTTAAAAGGACCGTTCACTCTACACTACCACCTAAGGAACAAACAAATAAACTACCGAAGATGATAGAGGCACGAAAGAACAACTCTTTGTGTGAAAAACAAACAAATCAGTGATATCTCGTCAGTATCACTGGTATCCAAAAAGTTGGGGGTTGCTATCCGATAAGTGTTAGCAATCCACTCGGTTTGCCCACTGATGCTTGGATTATTGTTGTATAAGACCAGCGGTGGAGTGGGTCTGCTGTTGTTACTTCGAGAACCAGTGGAGGAAATAGTTTGTGTCGTTTGTTTACTGACCTTCTTTATTGTCTCACTTATGACCGTTAAATTGCAGCCAATGAAGGAACTATTAACGACTATATCAGCCTTTCTCTCACCTTTACTCGCCTTCTTGTCCTAGCCACTGTCCTCCGGCTCCCCTTTCTGCTAGGCTGTGAGTGTTGAATGCAAACACTCTTATCGCAGGAGCTCGCATGCTTCGCCACACCCCACTCCCACATCGATTCATACATCCAAACTTCGATTATGGACTATAAACAGATTGGTTTCTAATATCATTCTAAGCCTTCGTTCCAATGACGTGAAAATTTGTTCCTAAGTTTAACTTTTCTCGCTATATAAGTAGTTTTCAGCTGTCATTTTTCTTCGATAATCACCATCCTTGTTGTTCTACTCGATAGTTTTGTGAGTCTTCTCGTTAAAAAGTACTTTAGACAGACTAAGTTACTTCAAATTCTGACGGGAAGACTAGATCTGGCTATCTTGATAACAGGAATGGGCGAGTACACATTTATACATAGCAAGAAGGTCAAAGAGTGTCTAAAACTTTATTAAACTATTCGGTTTATTAGCCAGAAAAGTTTTTTTTTGATAAATAAAAACGAAATGTGAGGAGAGAGTCTTCTCATTTCGTATGACAAGACCTCAATCATTGTTTATTACGAAGTCTATCCACCAGCATTTGATTTTCCTTCACTTCCGAATGGTCAGGCCCAAAAGCTAAGCGAGCGGTTTCGACAGAACGCTCGGCATGTTTGAGAGCTGCTTCATAGTTTTGAAGGCCTTGATAAGCCATTGCTGTATTATAATACATCACTGACATTGACGAATAATTAGGTGAGGGTAATGTTTCTTGAATTTTAAGTGACTTCTCATAAAACTCAACTGCAGCTGATTTGTCGTCGTTCGATGAATGTATTGAGCCAATACTACTATATAATGGAACTAGTGATGGATCGTTAGGTGGCAGCTTTTTTTCTCGAATTGTAAGTGCTTTTTCGTAAAATGTAAGAGCATTTTGTTTATCGTTTATTGATTTATAAGCAACAGCAATGTTATTATAATTAGTTGATAAATCGAGATCATCTGTTGACGAAGATTTTTCGCGAATCTCAATTGCTTTCTTATAGAAAAGGATAGTATTTGGATAATCATCCATCGAATAATGTAGAGATGCAATACTAGTATAGATTGTTGCCAAAGATGGATCATCGGTTGGAAGCTTTCTTAATCGAGTCGCAAGTGCCTTTTGATAAAAAAGAAGAGCGTTTGATTTATCATCCATTGAACTATAAGCAACGGCAATGTTATTATAGTTGGTTGCTAAATCCAAATCATCTGTCGACGAAGATTTTTCGCGAATCTCAATTGATTTCTTATAAAACTGGATGGCCTTTGAATAATCATTCATCGAATTATGTAGAGATGCAATGCTAGTATAGATTGTCGCCAAAGATGGATCATCAGGTGCCAGTTTTTTTTCTCGAATTGCAAGTGCCTTTTCGTAAAATGTAAGAGCATTTGTTTTATCTCCCGTAGATTTGTAGGCAATAGCAATGTTATTATAGTTGGTTGCTAATTGGAGATTATCTACTGACGAAGACTTTTCCCGAACTTCGATTGCTTTCTTATGAAACTCGACGGCATTTAAATAATCATTCAACTCATGATACGTTGAAGCAATATTACTATAAGTTGAAGCAAGCGTTAAATCATCAGAAGACATTTTTTTCTCTCGAATAACAAGTGCTTTCTCATGAAATGAAAGTGCTTTTGCATAGTCTTTCATCGAACAGTATACCAATCCAATATTACTGTATGAAGTAGCCAAATCACGATGATCGTCAGGAAGTGATTTTTTTTCAATTTCAAGCGCTTTTTCATAATATAAAAGTGCCTTTTGATAATCATTTATCTCGTGATAGGCTAAACCCATATTACTATACGTAATAGTCAAACTACGATTCTTAGGATTAAGAGATTTACTTTGTATTTCAAGTGCCTTTTCGAAAAATGATAGAGCAGTAGAATACTCTTCCATTGCATGATGCGCTGATCCAATTTTGTTGTAAGTCATAGCAGCTTCATCGGACTCACTGAGTTGAGGATTTTTTTTACAGATTTCATACGCTTTTTGATAAAAAGAAAGTGCAGTAGGATAATCATTCAAGGATTGATGAACTAAACCAATATTATTGTATGTAGTAACAAATGTCGGATGGTTTGAAGGAAGGGAAATTCGTTCGATTTCAAGTGACTTTTCATAGGACGATAAAGCTTTTTGATTATTTTCCATGGCGCTATAGATTGTACCAAGGTTATTGTAACTAGTAGCTATATCGGGATGGTTTGGAGGTAGTGAAAGTTCTCGAATTTCAAGTGCTTTCTGATAGTATGATAGAGCAGTTGATTTATCTTCCATCGAACTATAGACCGAACCAAAGTTATTGTAAGTATTAGCAAAAGCTGGATGATTTTCTGGAAAAGCTTGCTTTTGAATTTCGAGCGCTTTTTCAAAACATGAAAGCGCATTAGAATAATCGTCCATGGAACTATATACTGAGCCGATACAATTATAGCTGCTTGCTTTGTCTGGATGATTTTTAGGAAGAGATAATTCTCGAATATCACGTGCCTTTATATAATATTCTAGTGCTTTTGACTTGTCACCCATCGTACTATGAATAGAACCAAAATTAGCGTAGCTTGAAGCTAAATCTGGATGCTTTGGAGGAAGATATTTTTCTTGAATATCGAGTGCCTGTTGGTAAAATTTGAGAGCAGTTGAATAGTCTCCCATGTCTTGATGTAGTCCACCAATATTACCATATATATGTCCAAAATCTGGATGATTAGGTGGAAGTGTTTTCTGTCGAATTTCTAGTGCCTTTTGATAAAATGAAAGTGCACTCGTAAAGTCTGCCAAAGTTTTATGTACTAAACCAATGTTGCTGTATGTTGTAGCTAGTGTAGGATCATCGGAAGGAAGAGATTTCTCTTTTATTTCTAGTGCTTTTTGATAAGATGAGAGTGCAGATCTATAGTCTCCCAATGATTCATGCACTCCAGCAATATTATTATACGTTGTGGCAAGCGAAGGATCGTCAGGCGGTAAAAAATCTAGTTCATATTTAAGTGCCTTTTCATAGTATAAAAGTGCAGCCTTAAAATCACCCTTCTCACTGTAAATGTATCCAAGTTGATGATTTAGGTGAAAATGTTTACGCCAATTCTTTTCATCAGTTGAATCAAGTTGTGGTGCATATATTTCTTCAGCTTGATCGAACTCACCCATTTTAAGCATTAGATGGCCAAGTTTGCTCAGTGGAGTACCTTCTCCAAGCTCTTTTCTCATGTAATCGGTAAGCATTTTGAGTTGTTCATCATTATCACTTGTCGAGGCTAAATTGACTTGCCAAAACCTCTCCTTAAGTTTTTGTGCGCCCATAATTCGAAAAACGGTATGCATAGAAAAAAGAATTTCACTCTCGTATTTAAATGCACTCTGTTTGTCAATAAAAGCAAATGGAACCGATGAGATCTTTGGATTAATCTCCATGTGAAATAAAACTGCGATAACATTTGGATTTTTGTATGCTTGTTCTGCGAAGTGAAGTGAAACTTTTTCATCGAGAGTCGTCGACAAGAAACTATTGAAAGAGAGAAGACCACCTTGACTCGCTTGTATCTTTTCTATTTCATCGGATATCATAGCCTGTCCTCGATAAACAATGAATTTATTATGATCACGACTTTCAGATTGTTTAATATGCATGTCTGCAATTCGTTGATGAAGATCCTGTAGAAAGAATCCCATTTTCATGATCGTTTCAATATCTTGATTTCGCAAAGCTCGATTTAACATTACATAAAGAAATGATTCTTTTGTATACCATTCAATGGCTAAAGCATTATTATATTCTTGTTCAAATTCATCGATTAAACCCAATTGAAGAATATTGTCAGCATATTGTGTTCGACAAAATTCAATCAGCTTACTTTTTGATTCGTAATCATGTTTCATTTCGAGTAGGATCTCTTTGAGTAATTGTGTATACATATATGACTGGTCTAGTTCATTTCCAATTAAGCTTGGAATATCTATTCTACGTATAATGCTAATTGAAGTTAGGCTACCAACCAGACCGCTGTCAAATTTAATCTTTTGAAAAATATCTTCCATATTAAACAAAATTTGTTTTATTTTTTCGGACCATTTATTTGCCCAAGTTAATCTTTGTCGCTTTACTTGGCTAAATATATAAATACTGTCGACCTGTGGTTTATCATGTACAAGAGGTACGATTTTTTCGCCTAAATCATCCGATACAATCAGAAATATCTTTTTGTCGTCAATATTATCAATATAATTTATACATTGTTCAGAATTAGTACATGTATAGACCGCAGATGTAATGCGTTGAAGTTTAGTCACTGAATCATGATATGCTTTTCTTGATTGATCAATATTTGCATCCACCCAAATAATGACAAGATATTGATTGATCTCATGCTCCGAATGTAGTGAAGGAGTTTTAGGTTTTTTCGGTGGAGTCGATGGTTTAATAATAGTAGTACTTTTGTGAGATGTGACACTTGTTATACTTTTGCTAATGCTTTTCTGAGATGAAGAACTCGATATTCGCTTCACGACATTATTTCGTGCGCTTGGTATTCTAGTCTGCTGATTATTAATGTTATTTTGAGGCCCAGCTTGAACGGGAGCAATAGCGACAGCCGAACTACTTCCGCACCCCATTAAGTAAAAAATAATAACGTACCTTACCTTGATAGTCAGTTACGTCGTCTACTTTGATTACAAACTTTTGCTTTCAAGTTTCTTTTTCTTGTTTTTTTAAATGTATTTCATTACACGAGAAAATGAAAAATGCTGCATTTGTCTTGCAGCGTTTTTCTTTATTTGAATTCTATTTCTTTTTTCTCGAGAGTGTTGTGATGAATATCTCAAAAAAGAAAGAGAGAAACCTTGACAACAAATGTTTCAATGATCAGTGTAGCAAACGATTGAAGTAATTTCGAGATTCCAAACTTTATGCAAAAGAAATTCCGAGCCTATATTTTTCTTTCTTTCAGTCAACGTAGAAGGAGTTCGATCATTGGACTTTCATTTTCTTCCGTGATTGTCAACAAAGTGATTTCTCTTGTATGTCTGATTCAATGACAATCTGGAATATAACTTTTCTCTCATATAAGTCATGAGGGAACGTATTTCATTGCATTGCTAGAAATTCGCCAAGAATTAATCGATTTTATAAAAAAAACTGTCACTTTGTTTGTCAACATCGACTACTTTTTCTCGTGGTGTCGCCACAATTACAGTGCTATAAACTCTGATTGAAACCATCGATTATTTTCATTCGACTCGAACAACGCGCAGCTGTGAACAAGATTCTGTGTGTGAGTGTTGGTAACTATGAAAAGAAAACTGACACCCACATTCTTTTTATTAGTAAAATAGAAAGGAGAAAAAAAAAGACATTTATTTTTATTGTTATGTTTTATGTGAGTCTGTTTTGTAAACTCATATGCAAATGAATTATTTCACATTGCTGATCAAGCTTTATTCTCATTATAAATTCTTTTTCTTGGAGAATTTTCAAATTACTTCGCGCATTCCAAACTTAACTAAATTCTCACGTCCACTATGATACATAAAATAATTGAAAATAGAACAGCTAAACATTATTCTTTTTGTTTTATTCCAAAGACCATACGTTGCACTTTTCATAGTTTTGTCATTGAAATATTTGTATAGGCATTTGCATTTATTCATAAATTTGACAACATATTTAGTCAAAGTCGTCAACAACCAATTTTATCTCAACTGTCACCCTAAAGATAATTATGCTGTTTATTATTTTAGTTTTGAATAAATCAATAATTGTTTTATTTGAAACTTGATAGAAAAAATAAATTGTAGTATATTCCATGAAAGAAACGAAAAAACAAACTGTCATGTAAGGTTAGATAACTTTAGGTCTCTTGACATAAAATTATGCATCAGAAGAGTAATTAAAAAAAGTATGCAGCCAATGAGAGTACAAGGTGAATGATTGATAAAAGAAAAATAGAATATCAGTATGTGTTTTTTTTGTCTAATCATCATATATTGACGATGCACTTACGATGCAGTATTAAAAGAAAAATAAGTTACACATATATAAATAGTAATGTATTTTAAGACAACCTATTTGAATAGATAAACAGATAGTAATATCCATTTGGAAATAGACAAGTAAAAAAAAAAAAAAATTTCCCATTACAGAAAACAATCCAATGATACGAAAAATATTCGTACACTTTCTGTCATTTGTTTTATGGAATTTTCAAATTCAGTGTCTTCAACCGTATTTTCCTTCACAAATAACATTTGCAACGGAAGAATCTGCTGATTGTTATCTTTTTACAGTAGATGAAACCAATCAACGAGCTTATCAATAGCATCTTATCGATTCAGACGATCAATTACATTAATATGCCATGCAACATTTTTCATATGCAACACCAGATTCTCCTGAATTGAAAAATTATGTTCAACTCGATACCAGTATATTGTGTATATACAGCAATGTGAAAATATGGTAGTGGCATGAATGATTCATTTTCTGAACATTGGTATTATAATTCACGTTCTTTTAAAATTAGAAATTACATACAATTTAGTTCCAAAATGATACATGTAATAAATAGTTCTAAAAATGAAGATCAATGGTATTCGGAAGAAAAAATGTTCTCTTCAAACAGGTGATGTATGTCCATGTGAAGAAATATTCTTTAAAAAAAATACAGATATACCTCTTAGATATATTTATGTTGAAGGCCATGATTTTTTTGTTAACAAAGTGATAATAAATTATCAAATAATATCCATAGGAAAACCAAGTGATAAATTATTTGTTAAAATTCCAAAGAATTGGATGAATAATTGTACTAATCTTAATCTTGGGTTGGATTTTATACTTCCAAGTCCAATAATTAAGGTAAATGAAAGTGTAAAAGTTCAAATTCATTTGACTTCACCATTACATCGAGTAGATGAAAATGATACAATGATTCTTCGATGGTAAGTCGATGAAACAAGTTCTCAATGTCAAGATTGTCTAAAATGGGAACCTAAACAATTTTATTTTAATATTGATAATTTTCATCATTATCAAACAATGATTGTTACACGAATTAAAGATGGATCTGAAACAACTATTAGTCCTATTATGAATGGTGGTGGATATAATAAAACTCGATTAGATGTTTATTGCGTTCTTTTTCAATAGATATTTTGCTTTCATCTATTATGGAATGATAAAAAAGAATTCTTGATAAACCAAATCGTTAAACATAAGGTGTGATACAAACTTTTAAACGAAAAAAAAAAGAAATAATAAATTTTCTATATTTTGTTTCAGATTATTTTGTTTAAATATAAAGATTTAGAATTGAGAAAAAGATGATTCATATAATTGCACTTGTATAGATTGTCTGTTTTATAACTTGAGTAACTTCCCATAAGTGTTGGTCTTATTTTTATTTTTATCATTGGCGTATGTAAAGATGAATGGACATTGAAGAGATATTTTTGACGAGTAGCATAAATGCTTTTCATCTTTAATATCAATATTTCTAAATACGAAAGTCATTATTTGTGGTTACAAATCTAGACTAGCTGAGTCGATCTTGAGAGACTTATATCTCAAAAACACCCTTTTATGTGAATAGATAGTGTTCATTCTTTGAATTATATTTGTCAATTTTAAACAGATTCATTACTTTTCTAATAAAAATAAATAATATAATTGAAACCTTCACCAACTATTGTGTTGATACATACGTATTTCAAATTGTTCGAATAATTTTTATTTTCGTTGAAAAATTCATCTCTGATCACCTTCAGGGCTCAGTCAAAAAAGAAGATCAATAAAAATTTCATCTGGATTGTTGAGACCAAGTTCTGATTTTTCGAAATTATTATAGAACATAAGAAAGAAGATGACTACGCATGAAAAGTGGTTTTATGATTGAATCCATTTTTGTCGATTTCAACTACTCAAACGTTCTTACTCGCCCATTTTGAGCTCAACGGAATATAGTTTTTTATTGATTTGGCATCAAAATGCAGCTCAAGTCATGTTCTATTGATCACACTATGGGTAAGCTCATTGATTTGTGACTCCAACTCAGATGATGCATCTATCTTCTTAGCTCACAACACGAAGAAAATCTTAGGATGATACTCAAACTTGTAGTAAGAAGCATTAGCACTCATATATGATTAGGTTCGTCAGTTACAGCGCTACAGAAGAATGTCATTTTTATATTTTTTTCTGAGAAAAATTTAAGTGGGTTCAAAGAGGTCTTTATACACTCCTGCCCTTAAATAGAAGCCATTTGATATATGTTGTATATTTATTTGTGATACCTCTACATTAAGTTTCATTGGGTGATTCGATACCAATGTAAATCGAGATGATGGTTAACTATGATAATATTCATTCATTCGTGGTTAAATTTTATTGTTTATTTGTGCTCGCATAAAATAATGATTTTTTGCATTGTAGCTTAATTTAGAGAACAATATGGTTCATCGCACACAGTGTTGCTCGTGGATATATATATATCAATCAGTATGAATATGTGATTAAAGTCAAGATGTGCCAGATAAATTAATTTTGATAAAAATCGTTGAATAAAAGAAATTGTTTTTTCATTAGTACCTTGAGGAAGAATATCAAAACCGTGAAAAACTACAGCAAATAGCTCATAAATCTCGTCTAACTAGTTAATGAAGCACCGATTAACATGATTTTCGAATGTCTATATCAGACACCAGAATAAGAAAAAATAGCTGGTGAGATTTTTCATTTTCGAATTCATAGTTTTTGTTCTATCTAATTTCAGAAGAACAACGTTTAAAAAACCAATGAAAAGAAAAGAAAAACAACCAAAACCTATTCCATTAAAACCATCTATTACCCCTTCTACTAAAATATCAACCGAACTCAACAAAAAGGAACCAGAACAAAAGTTTTCTTATGATGATTTTGTACGTAATGCATCGTTCAAAGCTAATAAATCAGTGACGTCAACATCAAATTCTTGAGTTGAATTGAAAAATATTGATCCTACAACTAAACGATTAGATATTACAACTAATATGCATTATTGCACAATATAAAACTATCGATCAGACTGACAATTCTACAATCACCAAAAAATCGAACAGTGTAGGGATAAAGACCACCAATTATATCATGTAAGTTAAGAACTTATTATCAAAGCGGAATTGTTTTAGATCCATTAATTTTTCTTATTTGTGAAGACGTCAAAATTATACAAAAACCTCAGTAGTTACGTGCTCACTAGTCTTGTAGATTTCATTGTTTCAACAAACTTTTCAATATTGATATACAGTAAAACCTCTTTATATAAGCACATCTTCATAATGAGCACGTCATTGTACTGGGCGATCGCAATTTCTGTAACCCTACCGAGTAATTACGAGTCGATTGTTTAAAATAGAAGATCTCAGAAGAAGTCTTCTAATTCTCCAATGACACAGTCTAGAAATGTCAGCACTGTGTACTATTTTTGGAAACCTGCACCAATAGCTTATCCCATTAGTCAACTGTTGATAAATGTAATTTCTATATACTTCGAAGGGTTCAAGTCGTTGCTCTTGAATGATGAAAAACCGCATGTCTCTATGACATTCCTATCAAAATTTGTTCAAAACAACCGTGGATGGCATAATATTTTGAAATGGAAGGTATAGTCAAAAACAAAAGTTTAAGTGAAATTGGTTTTTCAGTATTTTTTCCGATTTTGTTTTTCAATTTTGTTTTTCATATTAAGAGGTATGGATCTGATTCAAGTGGTGATATAGATAGTACGAGAGGCCAGCTACATGATATATTATAGAACACGATTCTGTCTGTTTATATAGATTTTTCATAATTAAAATAATCTTTTTTCTATCAAACAATAGGTTTAAATGTCTTTCAGTATTTTGTATTTCCTAACCAAGAGATTTTTTCGAAAATGACAAAAAAAATATACCAATCGAGAGAGAATTTCACGCTCTATCAGATTATAACTGCAGATTTTTTCTAGGATCAATCGTCACCTTTAAAACTTGGTTTTAGTGAGAATAGTCAGCATTTTTCTACCGCCAAAATAATAAAAAAAAAAGACTAACTAACTGTGTTTCTCAAAACATTATTTCAATAAGGTGGGCGTGAAAAATCAGTGATATTCGAACTACAAATACAATATTTGTCCAGTTTTGAATACTCTTTCTAACAGTGTATAAAACATTGTAATAAGAGGGAGTTTGTTGGAGGTAATTCAATTTTTCCACTTTTGTTGACTATTCCTAAGTTTTGAAGGTGAAGATCGACTCTGGAAAAAATCTTTTTTTTTTATAAACTGTATCGATTGATATATATTTTTTTCAATTTAGGAAAACTCTCTTGGTTAGGAAATGCAAAATACTGAAAGACACTTAAAAATATTGTTTGATAGAAAAAAATTATTTTAATTATGAAAAATCTATATAAACAGACAGAGTCGCGTTCTATAATATATCATGTAGCTGGTCTCTCGTACTATCTATATCACTATTTGAATCAGATTCATACCTCTTAATATGGAAAAAAAAATTGAAAAACAAAATGTGAAAAAAATACTGAAAAACTAATTTCACTTCAACTTTTGTTTTTGACTATAGATATGCATATAAATTGTTTTTTTAAAATATCTTGTACTATTTAAGAAAAATGGAATCATCATATACTTAAAGAGAAGAACAAGAGGAATACAGATATATCGACAAGAAAATTATTTCGTCAAATTGTTTTTTATTTTCATCAACGACAAGATATTCGAGAAGATTTCGAAGATATTTTACTTGGACAAGCTGAGGAAAAAAAACTGTGTTGCACAAATGAAAGGACATGTAAAAATCGCTTAATGAAACAAACATTTCGAAGTTTTTTTTTTCTTGCAAATCTTAATTTTGTTCTAAACGTAGTGTAACATACGTATAGTGTGATTATTTTTTATTCTTTTTATGTTTTCTACTGTCAGTTTGTCTTATATTTATTCGTATTTTATCATTTAATAACAGCAAAATAGTTTTTTTCGTTGATTTTGTTTTTTTCTTTAAAAAATTGAAACAATAGAATAACAGTTTAACGAATATCAGTTTGTCTTCTTATTTTTTTTTTAGTTTTTTCTTCAAAAATGTTTCCATTAAGATTTGTTCGTTCATATACAACTGGAAAAGCACGTGAAATAATTAAATTTTATTATGATTTTAAATCGCCATATACTTATTTGGCATTAGAACCAGCACTTCAATTAGAAAAAGAATATCCTATTCAATTACGTTTTATTCCATGGGCAATTCGTATTGAAGAATCTTTTGGTGGAAATCTTCAAGAACGAAATAAACTTAATTGGAATAAAGTTCGATATGGATATTTGGATTGTCGACGTTATGCTAATGAACGTGGTCTGATTATTCGTGGTCCTCAACGTATATTTAATTCACGTCTTTCATTAATTGGTGGTTTATATGCTGAGAAACATAATTTTTTTCTTCCATATGCTTATCGTACATTTGAACTTTTTTTTAAACGTCAATTAAATATTGAAAACATCGATGAAATTACTAAACTTCTTTATGAAACATCAAATAAAAATGTTTCATTTGAAAAATTTGCTCAAGATTTTCAAACTTATGCTAATAATCAAGGTCAACAAGAATATTTAAATGCAGAAAATGAAGCTGAACAAGATAATATATTTGGTGTACCAACATTTATTGTGCGTGGTGAACCATTTTTTGGAAATGATAGAATTTCATGGGTAAAAAAGAGATTAGATTCACTAAAACTACATGACATCTAATCATGGTCGTGTCTAGATTATTAAAACATCTAATAGCAAAAATGTAATTTTTATCTTTGATTTCATATTTTATTGCAATAAATCAATCATTTAATTATAAGTAACGATTGCTAGTATAGTTTCTATTTTCAACTTGAATAGAAACTAAGTTCACCGAAGGTTT